CCCACTGCTATTTACCCGTAATTACCTGTAACTGCATTATCTTGCAGTAATGCAGAGCTTGCCTTTTCCCAGTCTTCAGGCTTCTGATTACTCCTTCTTGCTTGGTCTTTAAATCAGGGCTATAATATGCTTGGAGCAGAAAGCATATTCAATTTATTCTAATTAGAATACAAAAATCAAGTAGTTTAGTGACCATCATCAATTTTAGTATAACTGAAAGAGTTGCCACTAAAGTCATTTTAGAGCACTTTCACTAATCAGTTTACAATAATCAAGTGTAGTGTCTGTTCAGAGCTGGGAAATGATCTTGCTTTGTTTTCCTAAGGAAAAACACAGAACTGGTAATGGAACATTCTAGACAGGTGGTAAATTCACCGATTTTTTTGGTTGTGTTTTTTTTTTCTCATAGTATTAAATGACTGGGGGGGGGGGGGGTTTTTTTTTTTTTTTTTTTTTTTTTTTTTTGTTTGTTTGTTTTTGGATATTTGCACTGCACTTTAAGAATACTTTCTCTATTCCAACACTGGGCTGTAATATGCTTTGAGCCTGCTTGGTCTGGAGACTTCTGTTCCTAAACAGGAAGCAGGAACTTTTCTTTGAAGTTGTTGAATCTTCAAGTTTGGGAACTTGCCCACATACCATACCATAATCACCAAGATGACTTTTAATAAATGTCATTTAAGTTTCAGAAAATTGATTCTTGTTTAGTAGTTAGTTTGAAGAATTCATGATCTATGAAAGTTACCTTACAAAACAGGAATTCTGTTACTTTTATATCTGAAAAGCCCAGTTAACCAAATAATTTTGCAGCTTCTTTCTTCCTACATAGTTATTTATGAGAAGAATTATCTCATTTCTGCAAACATCGTCTCGCTGTAAATGTTCAAAGCATCAGAGTGTGTGTTCCTATTCAAAATGTTTTTCTCAAGCACAGTCCAAAAATCATCCACTGGCGTAGAATCTGACATAGCTGCAGGATAAGAAGTAATTGCATCGCTATGGGGGACAGCAGGCTGAAGTATTGTAAACCAGTAGATAGATTTCACTCTGAACAATTCAGTCATTCAGAGGTGATTTATTTCAGGTATTTGCTAAGATGCTGTACCAAAGCTTTTTTAATTATTATATATAATCCACTTTCAGTAGCCTACTTTTAAATTAGTTCTTTTCTCATTTTAGGAAGGAACAACCAAAATTGGAAGAAGTGATTCAGACCAAGATCAAGACATTGGTAAGAGAATGATATTACATATTATTTTATGATATGATCCGGTCAAACCAAGAGGTTTACATTCATCATGTAATAACTAGGTAATGTATCTGTTTGTCAGCTTTCTTTGTAAGAGAAGGTAAGTACAAAAGAATAATTGTTCCAAGTTGGCTAAAATCTTTCAGTTATTTTTTGGTTTTTTAAGAGGTTAAAAAGTCAATGGTCTTGACCAAACTGAGATCTCTTCAGAATTTTCTTCCCACTTGTGAAATGCTACAGTAGAGTTTAAAAATACCTTCATCTAACATGCAAATCTTGTTATGATCTATCCTGAGCTAGTGACACAAGACATCATGAGGCACTGAAGATGCTTTTCAACTCTACTTGGGCAGAGTATTTTAGGTATAAAATCCAAATTATTTCAGAATATTTTTTATTGCATTTCATTCCTGAACAGTCAATCTCAAGAGCTACAAATTATGATAGTTGCAACTTTATACCAAAACTGGAAACTTTGTGGAATCTCAGCTTTGGTTAGCTCTCCTAAGTTTGATTAAGTTTAATTATTTTCTGCCCGTAGATTAGTAAATTATAAACAATAAATGCCATAATAGCAATAAGAAAATTGAGCACAACAGAAGAATTTGCATATCAGCTCACAAATCAGAAAGTAGTGTATCATTTTCCAGAACCAGAAATACTCTAAAAGATCAATCTCACTATTTTTGACCAAGTACATTTCTCTGTGATATTGGGTACCTGGATAGGAATCAAGACAATTTAATCTCCATGTTCTGCACATGACATAGTTCTCTGAGTTGTGAAGTATGTAGTCATAGTGTCAAATAGCGTGTGGTAGTTCATTCTGGGGAAAATAGTGCAAACCCAACCCTTTCAACAGGTGAGATAAACCAAACCTATACATGGCAGTTTTGCAGGGACGGTGGATTGAAAGGGATCATTGTATGATAGACAACAACTGTGGGATTGTGACACTGCGACCAGTTCAGGGTGCACACTGCACTGTGAATGGATGTGAAGTCAGTGGATCGTGTCGTCTGTCACAAGGTAAGGCTTGCTTTTTCTCTGAAATGGGGCATTATAATTGACTTACCACTGTGTCCTGGGCTCAGCTACAGCAGTCATTTTTTCTCCTTCTCAGTAGCTGGTGCAGTGCTGTGTTTTTGACTTTCAGTCTGGGAACAATGCTGATAACCCCGATGTTTTTAGTTGTTGCTCAGTAATGTTTACTCGGACCAAGGACTTTCTCAGTCTCAGGCTTTGCCAGAGAGGAGGGGAAGCCAGGAGGAAGCAGAGGCAGGACACCTGACCCAAACTGGCCAAAGGGGTATTCCATACCACAGCACGTCATGCCCAGTATAGAAACTGGGGGGAGTTACCCGGAAGGCCCAGATCGCTGCTCGGGTCGGGCTGGGTATCGGTCGGCGGGTGGTGAGCGGTTGTGTCCTCTCCCCTTGTTATTCCTCTTATCATTATTATTGGTAGCAGTAGTGGTTTGTATTATACCTTAGTTACTGGAGAGCTGTTATCTCAACTCGTGGGAGTTACATTCCTCCAATTCTCCTCCCCATCCCTCTGGGAGCGGGGGGAGGAAGGAAGAGTAGGGGGGAGTGAGCGAGTGGCTGCGTGGTTCCAAGTTGCTGGCTGGGCTTAAACCACGACACACTGTAATTTAGAGACAAAGATTTATGGCACTCATGCAGATCTAAGAAACAAATCTCCCGATCTCCTACTGCTGCCTAGCACCATATGGTTTGATCCATAGTTAGAACTTCAGACTGGGACAAATAGAGAAAGTAAAGTAAAATAAAGACATAAGTGACAATATTAAGACCCCTTTCGGTAGCAGTAGTCTGTAGCTTTCTGAAAAGCAAGCACCTATAGTCAAAGATGCTGGTATGGAAAGCAGTGGACACTGGCCCTAAGCCAGCTGACTGCTGGTGGAGGTTTTTGACAATACGTAATATGGTTGAAATGACCTTCAACTTTTTCACAGTGTGTTTAAGTGGAGGGTACTAGTCACAGAGTCATAGGGTCAGATAGAATAGATCAGGCTCCCATACTCATAGTGAACAAGCTCAGGCAAAATGGATCAGGCTCTCATACTTCCAAGCTGTTTAAAATAAGAAAATATATCCAGTTTCTGGGAACTTGTAGTGATCTGGATTCTTAAAAAGATAGTGTAGAAACAAGTTTCCAGCAGTGGGCTAGTTATGTTTTTTATATGAAGTCATGCCAGTCTTTAATATGAACAGGGAAATTACTGTTATGTTGAGTTTGCAGAGATACCCAACATAAGTGTGCTTGCATGCTGTCATTACAGAATAACTCTGCTGTTCCACAGCGGCAAATTTTAAAAACAGTTCTCTGCTCTGTGATAATTAGAAAGCTGTTGGTCAGAATATTTTACTTTTTAATATTCTGCAGTAGTTTGTACGTGCTGTAGCCTGTATACTGGAGTTCAGATACTACTAAGGTTTTAGGGACCAACTGTCTGATGAATTATACCTTTGAAGATATCTAATCACTTTTTTTCACAGGGGCCCTTGTTGTCCTTGGCAAGTCTCATAAGTTTAGATTCAATCACCCAGCAGAAGCTGCTATCTTAAGACAAAGAAGATCAGTAAGTTCTAAACCTGTATTTTTCTCTCCTAATTCTTCACTGTTTTTGCTAGTTATTTTCCCTCTTAAAAGCAAGCCCGATGTAGATAATATTTCGTCTCATCATTGTATTCACTTGCTTCATTTCCTCCAACTAATGGTGTGTAATGACACTAAACCTTTTGTGGGAGGACAGTAGCGCTTCTTTCAGATGTGCTCAGCAAATGATGATGCAGATCCCTTGAATAATTTACTGTTTCCTATTTCTAGTCATGACCACAGAAACTCATTGAAACAGAAAGACAGAATGATGCAGTGAAAAGACCAATTAAGAATCTTTCTACATTTGATAATCTTCTGAATTATCTTCTATCTCTGTCATTTCACCATCCTGAATGATGTATACTAGAAGTTAAGGAAAATTTATGGGATTGAGTGCTGGAGTATTGTTGGCTCTAAAAGCACTTGTTACATGCCTCAGAAATAGATAAAATATGCTAATCTCAGGAACTAACTACTGCAAGATACTATTTGGTCAGCTGGTTAAGTAATGTTTTAATTAAAAAGTTAGATAATTCTTAAAACGACTGGCATATGTAACTAAAAAACCTAACTTAATGAATGTCAATTTTCTGGTTTGGGATATAATCATACTGCCAGCCTCTATTGGCAGTATGGATAAGAATCTACCTTTTCAAATTGATTTTCATATAGTAACATTTTGTATTTTCTGCTCAACTATCCTTTTGTATTCACTTCTGTAGTTAAGGAGCTTAACTTTCATTTATTTTAATTCTTAATTTCTTAATTAATGAAGCATGCAGTACATTAAAATGCAGCTACAAGAAGAGGTGTAACAAATACTTAGCAGAAGTGTGAGATTATAAACTCACATGGGAGGTATTATGCAGCATTGCACACAGTAGTTGGCAACAGTGGTATTAATGATAACCTGGAAGTTTCTGGGTTGCTGTGGTATTTTCTCTTGTTCTCATGTTGTGTGTTGTAGGTTAGTGAAACTCCACCTATACTGAGTTGTGGGGCTTTGGACTGGCTCAACTTGGATGGAAGCTGCACCCATTGTCCTCCCTATATCCTTTCTTCTCTTGACAAGTAAGTTTAAAACCAACTAACAAATAGTTTCTCATGTGGGATGAAAATGGGTATGTCTGAAACCAGGGCTTGGTTCAGACAAAGCTATGTTGTATATAGAATAGGTCTCATCACTTTTTCAAGTGATCAAGTAAGTGTCCTCTTTAATGTACCTAATCTGCATTTGCTTTTCATTTGCTGCAGTGATACCTTCCTATAAAATTTTTGGTTTTCATTTTGTTTCATTACTGAGGTACATTTTACACATCCCTGCTGTTACTTTCTGTGTAAATATTATGAAAAAATTAAAACTGATAGTTCCTTTAATGACCTGCAGAGGTAGATATCAAGTTGCTCTTTACATGGGTGTAAACATCAGAGGTGAAGCTTTTGTCACAATAATTTGTTGGTGATCTTGGAAAAACCTGCAGAAATTCCAAAACATTGTGACCAGTCCAGCACAGAACTGCATCTGGTGTTCCCATTTTTAACCTGACAAAACTGCAGAATGTTTCTGGTTTTTCAGACCATGTTCAGAGAGTAGATTTTGTTTGTGTTGATCATCTTTTTTAATCACTTGGACAGGACAGTGCATATCACATTGCTTAACGCTACCCTCAGACTTACCTAGTGTTTCAAGTGGTTACTTCAGTGACAATGAAAAGCATTTATGGTATTGCATTCACTTGATTTTTATCAATGTCCATCTCAAAAGAATAAGCTATAAACTGTATCTAACATTAGTTGTCTTTCACCTTACATAATCCAGTGGTCTTTTGTTTTTAACTCTTGAATAGTTCTTTTGGCAATGATAAACTGAATTGATCCACTCAGCCTTCCTTTACAGTAACCAGTAAGCCTGTGTTTCTGTCAAGACAAGTAGTTTTCTCATGGAGGGGGTTATGACTAAGATGTCTAGGTTAAGATCTGTAATATGAGAATAAAATTATACACATGGTTTCTCACATGTCCAGCTTTCATGAAGAAAAGTCAATGTCAAGTACGGAAAGGTGTGTTTCAGGTACCTTGCAAACAGTAACACAGGACTAAATGGGCTACAGGCAGTGCTTATTTGCTCATTGATAAAAAGCTTACTTAGTGCAGGCCTTGTCTTTTTAAGAAAGAGATGCTTAGAGGACAATATAAGAACAAGGCAAGCTCTGTGTGTGTGAGTGTGTCCTTTTCTCTCCCCCCCCCTCACTTAATAGTTCTTGATGCTCTCCCAGCTGATAGCAATCTGCATCTTGGAATCTTCCTCTTAAAAATTACGGTAGCATCTCTGTGCATAACAGGCTTCAGGGAGGTTTTCTTGCCTTTTTTTTTATATATCTTTATGATTTCCTATTTTTATTTTTACACTCAAAGATTTAGAAGCCATAAAGAAAACAAATGCTATCCAGAGCTGAGCTAAGAATGTGTCTAAATCATGCTGAATTTTTTGATCCCAGCTTTGTCTTTCTCCTGTGCTACACTGATTTACTCCAGAGGAGATGCAAACTAGCCTTCAAGCTTTAATTTGATTTTTATCATACTGAAACAAGAATCTGCACATGCACTGAGTTATAGGCAAGTCTCTGCAACAATGTTCTTTCTTCATACTCAAACTTGTGCAAAAGGTTTGTACTTTTGTTGCTTGAGTAACCATTATTTTAAAGCCATGACTATACCAGGGTTTATGCTGAAGCTGCCATCAATTTACAATATATAAGAACCCTAATATATATTAATTTCTATGTCAGTAGTAGTGTATTAAAAATTCCATGGACAAATTGGGTTCTCTTCTGGTGGGAAAAAATGGCTTTATGGAAGAGTCCAAAAAAAAGTTCTAGCATAAAACATCGTTTGTTCATGCAAAGAAGCATAGCAGTCATCCACAAAAACCATTCAGAAATTGTTGGGCTTTTGTGCATTTAAGTACTTTTTAATCAGGAACTGATGGTACTTTGCTTTCTTCTGAATTTTTTATTTTGGAGCATATGAACATATATATTATGGGAATAACTGCTTACAGTCTTACCTCCCATGCTGCCAGTATGTTTTCTCATCTGCATTTCATGGGCTGAATTACCAGTTTGACCTCTAGTTGTATGTTGAAATATTTTGAGAAATGAGAGAGAAAACAAATTTCTACCATTGCATCCAAATATTAAAACTTTAGGCATGAAATGACCCTTGAAATGGGTGCAATTCATTGCACTCTTACTTGCCTGCTTGCTTGTATACACCCTACTCAAAAGAGCCCCAGCACTTCAAACTTCTGATGTTTTTGCCAGCCAGCAAAGACACAGAAGGCTTGTGACTGGCATCAGTCATCATATGACAGCATTACCACAAATAAGCAGGTAACTAAGTTCCTGCTCCTTTCATTGCCTTAATATGATACTGCATGTAAATATAAACCCTGATTTCATTCCCTTACTGGTTTGGAAAAAAACCCAAACCACAGGACTTCCGTTAGAGTCCTGTGGTATAGCAATATGCTGAATTAATTTTATATGCTTGGATCATGTTTAAACTCTCTTTCCTTGAAAATTCCAATATTGTTAAACCAGAAAGAAAGAAGTCTTCTGAGAATGTGCGAAATTCTACTGACCTAGAAAGGAAACAGAGTCCATAGATGCATCTGATGCTGGAGAACACAATGCAATTATTATTCTAATGGGTTATAGTTAATGTGTCCAGCTAATATTTGTAAAACTAATACTCTGAGTTCTTACTAACAGCTTTCATTTGAGAATTTCAAAGTGCTACAATTTAATCTCTTGCATCTCTTAAAAGATCCCTCGAATATTTCATTTCAGAGAGAAATGCACTGTGTCCTTCACAGCAACTTTACAACTTAACAGCAGAATCACGTATGGTGGGTTAGAAGGGCAACTAACAGATTCTATATATAACTGCAATCATAAGGGGAAAACCTGTGGTAGATTGTAGTTCCAGCTAAAGTGGAATTTAGCAAGGCAGCAGTGACCTTTACTGGAGTGTATAGCTGTGTCTTGCTCCTGCAACTCCTTGCCAAAACCAGGTCTGGTTTAGAAGTGTATTTGCCTTAAATAAGTCATTGCCTTACTGTTCCTTTGGGGTCTTAGGCAAAGGAAAAAAGGTGTTGCATGCAAAGGCTAAAAATCCACCCCACAGTATAAAAAAATGCACAGGTGTGCTTTTTCTGTAAGCAAACCAGCTAATCAGAAATGCAAATTATACTTCACCTGATGGTAACTTCCGTGACGGGGATTATTCTGTGTCTACATTTCCAAAGGTCCCTTGTTTCTAATGGTTTCTGACTCTGCTGGCTGTGGGAAATGATTTCTGGTTCCCACCTCCTGCCTGTCAAATCCCCCCC